TAGTGGTGGTGGGTGGTGGTAGCTAGTGTAGTGGTGGTGATAGCTACTGTAGTGTTGATGGTGCTGGTAGCTACTGTACTGGTGGTGGTGGTGGTAGCTACTGTATTGGTCTTGGTGGTGGTAGCTACTGTAGTGGTGGTGGTGGTGGTGGTGGTAGCTACTGTAGTGGTGGTGGTGGTGGTAGCTACTGTAGTGGTGGTGGTGGTGGTGGTAGCTACTGTAGTGGTGGTGGTGGTGGTGGTGGGGGTGGTGTTAGCTACTGTAGCGATGGTGGTGGTGGTGGTTGCTATTGTAGTGATGGTGGAGGTGGTGGTGATGGTGATGGTGCTGGTGGTAGCTACTGTAGTGGTGGTGGTGGTGGGTGGTGGGTGGTGGTGGGGGTGGGGGTGGTGGTGGTGGTGGTGGGTGGCGGTGGTGGTTGGTGATGGTGGTTGGTGGTGGTGGTAGCTACTGTAGTGGTGGTGGTAGCTATTGTAGTGGTGGTGGTGGTAGCAATTGTAGTGGTGGTGATGGTGGTAGCTGTTGTAGTGGTGGTGGTGGTGATGATGATGGTGGTAGCTACTGTAGTGGTGGTGATGATGATGGTGGTAGCTACTGTAGTGGTGGTGGTGGTAGCTACTGTTGTTGTGGTGGTGGTGGTGGTAGTGGTAGTGGTAGTTACTGTAGTAGTGGTGGTGGTGGTGGTGGTAGCTACTGTAGTGGTGGTGGTGGTGGAAGTTAATGTAGTGGTGGTGGTACTGATGGTTTGGATGATAATGGCAGTGGTGTTAGTGATTAGCGTATCGATAATGGCAGTTTGCGACTAGTGTGTGATGGCAGTTTGTGACAGTGTGGGATGGCAGTTTGTGACAGTGTGGGATGGCAGTTTATAGTGTGTGATGGCAGTTTTTGACATGTGTGTGAAGGAAGTTTGTGACAGTGTGGGATGGCAGTTTATAGTTAGTGTGTGATGGCAGTTTTTGACTTGTGTGTGATGGCAGTTTGTAACAGTGTGGGAAGGCAGTTTGTGACAGTGTGGGATGGCAGTTTGTGGCAGTGTGGGATGGCAGCTTATAATTAGTGTGTGATGGCAGCTTTTGACTTGTGTGTGATGGCAGTTTGTGACTTGGGTGTGATGGCAGTTTGTGACTAGTGAGTGATGGCAGTTTGGGACTGTGGGATGGCAATTTGTGACAAGTGTGTGATGGCAGTTTGTGACAAGTGCGTAATGGCAGTTTGTGACAAGTGTGTAATGGCAGTTTGTGACATGTGTGTGATGGCAGTTTGTGATAAGTGTGTAATGGCAGTTTGTGACAAGTGTGCGATGGCAATTTGTCACAAGTGTGATGACAGTTTGCAACAGGTATGTGCTTGTCACAAGCATGTGACAGCAACTTGTCACAACTGTGTGATGGCAACTTGTCAGTGTGTGATGGCAGTTTGTCACAAGTTGGCCACAAACAGATCTCCTGTCACTTAGTACCTCAGCACATCCCTGACTGTCAAATCTGTGTTTGGAGGTGAAGCTCGTGAGGGCGGGGGTGGGGGAGGAGGGGGAAGCTCGTGAGGGCGGGGGTGGGGGAGGAGGGGGAAGCTCGTGAGGGCGGGGGTGGGGGAGGAGGGGGAAGCTCGTGAGGGTGGGGGTGGGGGAGGAGGGGGAAGCTCGTGAGGGCGGGGGTGGGGGAGGAGGGGGAAGCTCGTGAGGGCGGGGGTGGGGGAGGAGGGGGAAGCTCGTGAGGGCGGGGGTGGGGGAGGAGGGGGAAGATGGTGGGGAATCAATAACTCTATCTGAATCTGTCGTCACATCCACACTAGTAGAAGAATTTCCAATTAAGTTATATAGTCGGTCGTCTTATACATATCTATCTCTGTACAGTTTAGTCATATTATTATATGAAAAATTAGATATAGTTTACGTCTATTTATGTCTGTGGTCTGTATGTCACATCCACACAACTTGTAAAACAGCATGAGAGGTGATGCCAGACTCGATATCAACAATATAACCACCTCTATGATCTTCTATAGACCTTCACCACAACTAGATGAATAATAGTCTTACGGCCTCTCTTAATTTACAAAAGCAAAAAACACTAACTCATTCTACTGCTATAAAAGACAACCCAAATGGCAAAAATCAAGATACAGTAAAGGGAAAAAAGTCCAAAAAATCAACAAAATGTAATATGCATAAACTGTATATATGTAAGGTATTTAAAAAAACACTGTTTAATAGAAGGAATCACCAAGGCTTCACACACACATATTATATATATATATATATATATATATATATATATATATATATATATATATATATATATATATATTATATATATATATATATATATATATATAATCCTGGTATGGGTGTGTTAAGTAGTATTCAAAAAAGAACCTGCATATTTCCTGACGTGATAATAATAACAGTACAAGTCTCTGAAATGGGTTTTAAAAGTAATCATACAAAAAGTATATCTATCTATCTATCTATTTATCTATCTATTTATCTATCTATCTATCTATCTATCTATCTATCTATATATATATATATATATATATATATATATATATATATATATATATATATATGTATATATATATATATATATATATGTATATATATATATATATATATATATATATATATATAATTATATATATATATATATATATATATATATTTATATATATATATATATATATATATATATATATATATATATATATATATATATATATATATATATATATATATATATATATATACATGTACAGTAGTGACAGTACATATAAGAGTACATATATAGGGAAAAAATGCAGGTAGTGGCCAGAGGAAAGGTATGTTAAGATCTTCCAATCTGAAATTAAAATTGAGGTTATAAAAATTCGAGAAAAAAAAATAGTTTTTCGTTAATTTTATAATTCCTCTGATTTAGGTTAATCTTGAATGTCTGATACATATTTAAATATGTTCCAGTAATGGGAATTTTAGGTATGACATCCTAGGGTACAAAAAAAAAAATTTAGATTAAATAAAAAACACATTCACATAAATAAAAGTTTATCTATAATGGAAAACTTTTACATAAAAAGAAACAACGTATATGTAAAGTAGTAAACTGAAATCATTAATACGAAAATTAATTAAAAAATTTATAGTCATTTGATAAATAAATGAATATAATTTAGACAGACAACATATTATTTTTGTTTCTTAAATATTGCTAATTTATTGAAAAAAAAAAATAAGCTGGTGCTACTAACACCGGTTTAATTTCATACAAAAAAATTATTGGATATTTTGCAGGAAAATATTAATATCTGTATGAAAGACATTACACAAGAAGAAAATATGGAAAATAATTCTTATTACAAAATATTTTACATTATCTTAAGCAGCACTAATTTAGCAACGTATATTTTTAATTATTTATTTTAATTAAGAAACTAATTTAAGTTACAGCATATTAATTAATGAAGAGTTATGGTTTACGGAGTTAATGCTATACAGAGGTTAAAAAACTGAATAAAACACTAGAATATAGCGGCTAACTGGACCTGCTGTTCCACATCATTAAACTGTTTAAGTGTAACATAAGTTTCATGTCACGTCTTAAACCTACATATATATATTGTGGCCTGAGAAACTTGGTATAATCCCTCAATTACAAAAACATATGACCAATTATATGTCTCTCCTACACCCAAAAACACTATAAATTCTTGGAAAAAAATTTAGAGACCGTAAAATATTTCATTACACAGGTTTTTTCCACTATTGACTTCACTGCTATAATCTTAACTTGTATATTAACGACTATAGTTTTACTAATATCCCCTTAAGTGTCGTCTAATACACCACAATTATCTCCTCAGCTCAAACTCTTTCCCATAACTGTAGTATTATATCTGTGTTTTCAATATTTATTACAATGTTTAATATTTTACTAATATCTCCTGGTCACATTTATTATCTAATATGTAGCTCTTACCACAAATTAAATTTTTTCCTCAAATATCAAAATTATTTCCTCACAATCTGTAAAGTTTCTTTAGGTTTTGCTCTTATCTTTAAAAATAATATTAATATCCTCAGATTACGTATTTTTTTTTTTAAGTTTAATCTCCATTTTCAAAAGTATCACTTATAATCTTACTCGTAAATCTTTTATTATTACTGTTTCCATAATTTTCAATATTTCTACATGAAAGTATTTCTTCAAATTGCACTTTTAATTCGACAATATATAATATCTCCTCAAATTTCTCTCACATTTTTCAAAATATTATTCTTATGACAGTAAATTTCACAATATCCTCAGTACATTTAAATATTACTTCAGTTTTAAATATTACCTCATAAAAATTCAGTATTACCATTTTTCACTATTACCGTCTCAAATTTCACCTCCGTCTCCACAATTTGAAAATTTGTTTAACTGTGTATCTTAAGTATTGAAATTTCTCTCTCCAATTTTCACCGCCATTTACACGGAAAATTGCCTGATCTGGGATATTCTTGGTACATTTCTTGTCTATCACATACTTCTCTATTAGTTACTAAGAAGCTATTTTATTACCCACAAGAGTAACTTTGTCTACTCTTGTCGTATTCTTCTCATTTACCTTCGTCGTCATTTTCCGTTGCATTGTTCTATTTCTGACCGTAAATACTTCCCACTGCTGCTGTCTTTTTTGTTTAAAATTAAGTTAGTTTTTTTTTTTTTTTTTTTTTTTAAATTTTGCTAATTATTTAAGAGAAATGAACCAAAGTTCTTTTAATATTCCTCTTACTTCCAGCTATTATTTAAACTATTTTTTCACCTATTATTCCTATAATTTCCACTAGCTATTCCTAACAGTATCCCTTATTCGTATTAATAATTTTGTTCCTTTCAAAGCAATTTATCCCGTTAATTTTGTCCATTATTGCTTCTAATTTCTCTGTTATTGCTACCATTACTGGCAGCAGTGACACAGTGAGCTAGCTATGTAAGGCTACTTATAGTGGACATTAC